AAAAGAAAGAAAGAGAGAAAAAGAGAGGAAGGGAGGGAAAAAAAAGGGGGAAAGGAAAAAGGGGAGGAGGAAAAGGGGATAAAAAACGGGGGGGTAAAAGGGAGATAAGTAAGAAAGGAGTGAGAGAAGAGAAAAGGGAAGAAGAGGGGGGGGGACAAGAAAATAAGGGAAAAACACATCCGTGCTTCAAGTGCTCAAAGAGCGAGCGGCCTCTCCTTTCACGACGGTAGAGGTCCAACCTCTTCGCGTGCGTCCCTTTGCGTCGCGGGGGCCGGCTGGGGGGTCAGTGAGCATGCTCCGGGCTCGCAGGAGTAGATCATTTGCGTACAATGGACCTCAATGGTCAGCAGCACGCCTCTGCAGTGGCAAGGCGAGCACCACAAACCCGTTCGCTGCTGCCGCCGCCAAAAAGGCTGCCGCCGCAAGCAGCACGGCGAGCACCACAAACCCGTTCGCAGCTGCCGCCGCCAAAAAGGCCGCCGCCGCAAGCAGCACGGCGAGCACCACAAACCCGTTCGCAGCTGCCGCCGCCAAAAAGGCCGCCGCCGCAAGCAGCACGGCGAGCACCACAAACCCGTTCGCAGCTGTCGCCGCCAAAAAGGCCGCCGCCGCAAGCAGCACGGCGAACACCACAAACCCGTTCGCAGCTGCCGCCGCCAAAAAGGCCGCCGCAAAGCCCGCAAAGAAGACCTGGCAGCCGCTCAAACTCACCGAGAAGCGACGCGAATCGGACACAATCACCTCCTTTGTCTTTGTGCACACAGACGGAAGCGCGCCAATTTCGTATGAGGCTGGGCAGTACCTCCCAATCCGCCTGAGCGTGCCCGGAGTCAAGTCGCCGGTGGTCCGCACCTACACGCTGTCAGACATGTCCAATGCCAAGGCGTATCGCATCTCCGTCAAACGCGAGGCGCGTAAGCTGTGCGAGCACTGAGCATGGCGTGTTCCCCGCGAGAGCTCGCGCCTTTTGCGTATAGGCGGAGGGTGTTGGCTCGCGCCACCTGCACGACGCGGTCGAGGTTGGCGACACGATCGAGGGCATGGCCCCAAAGGGCGACTTTGTGCTCAAGCGCGGCTCAACGCGGCCGATGGCATTCGTTTCGGGCGGCGTCGGCATCACGCCGATGATTGCGATGATGAACACGTCCATTGCCGAGGGCGTCGCGCGAGGCTCCGTGCCAAAGATGGTCTTCCTGCACGGCGCGCGCAACGGCAGCGAGTACGCC